TCGAGCAGGGTTTCACGGAATGTTCGTACAGGGGCCTTTACAGTTACCGGAGGTTCTGGGTGTATATTAGAGAACTGTAAATTGTACTATGATGCTATAAGGACGATGAGGCTACAGCTCGGGTTTCCGGCAAGCTGCAGCGGTGGCACTGCGCGGTTTCTTGGTTCTTATATAAATCATAGTGACCCTCAGGGGCGTAAGGGGGAGGGGGGTCGGGTATTACTCTTCCTTAAATGAATCTTATTAGACCCTTATCAACTCCTTCGGGCTATTCCTCATCCCTACACCCTAAACCCTGGACCCTAAAACCTGAACCATAAGCTCTAAACCCCTTACCCCTTTCGGTCTTCTGTTCTTTTTTCGCAAGCTGCAGCCCGAGCCGCGGAGCCACGAAGCCTGAAGGCCATTTTTCTAAGCCTTGAGACCCGGCCTTAAGAAGCCATGACCTGTTTTTTTGTGTAGGGACCCTTTACGGTGTGTAACTATAACCTACTTTTTGTTAATCGTATTACAAACCGTAATATAATAGAATGTAGACATACCTGTAGACATACCCTACCCTGTGCTTCCAGGGACCTTCTCATTGGGTCCTTAAGGGGTTTAGGGCCCTAACTATAAGGTCTTTGGAAGCGTAGAGGGTTACTTTGGTGTAAACCTTCTCAGAAGCCGCAGAGGGACCCTACAAAAAATAATATCGGGGCCTGAATAATTGCCTATACTATTTTCGGGGTTCCTTTTATAGTTATAGTATACTGGGCCCCAAAACCCTGTTCTAATAATAAAGGCCCCTATAGTCGGTTTTGACAGGTTAACAGGGTATATACTCAGTCCACAATGAGCGAAAGGTAGGCCTGAATCACCCTATGCTTCCGGGAACCTTATGATTTGGTCCTGAAGGGGTCTAGGGCTCGAGCTACACCTTGGCAGGATAGGGTCATGTTTTTACCCAAACTATCTGCTACGTCGAAGACTTCGACACCTTGATTAGATTGACGAAATCCCGTAATATGTGGTTATGAGGCTACACCACAACCCTCAAGCCTAAACCCCCAAATCGCGCAGACCTTGACAGATGCGTTAGTCGCGGGCAGCACGATTTAGGCACGCTTTTTGTGCTTACTGTCTCACCCCAGCCTAAACCGGCTTGCCTTTCCTCAGCTGCTCCCTTGCCATGTTTGTAAACTAAACAATCACTATGCCATCGCATCTATGCTGCAGTTGCCGTGTTTTGGTGTTTAAGGTTGTCAGGTTCTCTTAACTCCAAGCTTGTCAAACAGAATCAGAAGACCCGGTCGAAGAGAAGACCATACATCGCAGAAGAGCCTGTGTCACAGATAACTCGGTACAGCAGAAACGACCCTATCTACGCGAAGACTCTGTCTGACATGCACGCAGTAGTGCAGATCCGTATGAACTTACAATACTGCTCATGGTAGAAATCCACATGCATGTTCGTAAACCCAACTGTTAGAAGAAAGCGTTCTAGACTGTCACGGGGGCATCCCAGAGACTCCAATAATTATCCCTTAATCAAGGATTATCAACCAAGGGATACCCAAAGCCCAAAGTAGTTCCTTTTTGGGGTTTATATATATATATATATATATATATATATATATATATATGCTCACCCCCCCCCCCCCCCCCAAGATCTACGCTTTCGTGGTTCTTGGGGCATGGGGAGCACGAAACACTGCTATGCTCAAAAAATTCCAAAGTTTCTAACCCTGAAACTCACGAAACACTGACTGTAATGCTCAAAAAATTCCAAGCTGCCTTATCTCGAGTATCAAGTATTGTATATCTTTCTCCTGAGTGTAGCTCCCCGCCATGAATCAAGACGGTGCCGACATCTCTTTGCAGGATGCTCTCGATGCTACGAACTCGCAAGTGATAAGACAGATGAAAAAGCCTAACATCGTAGACATTCCCGTGGGCCCAGTGCTGCCTATTCACCTACCAATCCAGCCGGTTGGAGCGTCTACACCCCGGCTTCGTCATGCATTCGATGTGGTTGGTGAGGTTGAGTTCTCACATAATAAGAAGGAGGAGCTGAATCATTACGCCAGGGATGGTGCATTTCAGAGGTTTCCGGAACCGTTTCAAAATGAACCCCGACGTTGGTGTAGAGATGCAGCTGGCCCTTATTCCGAACTCAGCACGCAGCAAGTTTTACTTCGTGAAGCATTTCATCTTCAAGGAGCAAGTCAAGACAGAATATGCGAAACAACTTTGTCATGGCGAACTACACCAAGTTTCTTGGGGAGGGAATGCGAAGAACATCAAAAAAGCTTTGTCAGTACATGTTTGAGAACATGGGCGGTTACCAGATCCGTAGCTACTCATTGCAAACGGCGGCTACTGCACAGGGTGACACCAAAGGCACCTTTTTCTCGAATCTTTCGGAAGACGGCATCGACATTGGGTTTGATTTCATCGAAAAGAACGGCCCCCGCACCCCCCATGCCAACAAGCAGTTGAGGTGGATCGCAAAGCAACAAATCACGGAAGGAAGCCCCGTCAAGGATTGGCCAGAACGACTCACTAAGGAAGCACTCCGCAACTTGATGTCGGATGGTGTCCTCGCACTTCCCGTCGATGATTTCCCCCTCACCTTGGTTGATGTCGATCCCACTGTCCTGAACATTCTCGAGAAATTCTTTCCTCACTTCAACGAGAAGGCACTCGGCATGCACGGTGTCCCCAACGTCGGCAAAACTCCGTTGGCCCGCATCGTTGCCATGGCCATGTCCCGCTATTGGATCCTCAAATTGAAGTCGGAGAATCGCCCCGCGTATCGCGAAGCTTGTGAATTTGATTTCTTCAGAGGAGAAGCCGGACGCCAGGATAGGCCAGACATATTCGACGACGGCACCCTTTCAGAACAACCGCTTCGCAAAATCAAGGGGTTTTGTGACGTAGGCAACACCGTCTTGACCAAGGAAAGGTGGGGAGCGGCAAAGTTTCCTCAGGGGCAAATGCGGATCTATGTCAGCAATGAGTTGCAGTTGGAAGCAGAGCCGTTGTCTAGGAGTTCGGGCAATTCAACCAGCCATAAGACATTCCTCGAGATTTTGGAGCCGGCTTGGATGAAGGGGACCGGAGTTTCCGACATTACCGCGGTTCTGAAAAGGACGTGTCTCTTGGTCTTCACCGACAACTACATCTACTACAGACCCGCTACAGACAAGCAGGTATGGGTTGAACGCATTCCCCTAGACGACTCGAAATCAGTACTCCGGCAGAGCAGTGGCCCCAAGTATAACAAGTACCGGAAAGGTTATCCTGCACCCGCGGACCCCGCACATGTTGAATGGGAACGAGCTTGGATGGCTAGTGTCATGGACAACCACGGCGAGAACTTCCCCAAAATGCCTTATGAAGTTCGTCGCAGAGATGATCGTGGCACCAGTGCTTACGAAATTAGGCTCCCTTTTCAACCTTCGGCCGTGGTGAAGGAGGAACTGTTGTGACGCGGTTTTGGTCTAGATGGTGTTATTGTGTATTATGGGGTTTATGGCTTTAGCATTTAGGACTAACCACAAACCTCCCGGTTTGGACCACACCAAACGGGGAGTTGGACCGGCGAGCGGTTTTAGTTATTGCACCAGCACGGAAACCCCGCTGATGCGCATGATGCTGGGCCTGGGGGCCGCCCAATCCCAGCTGATGCTCATGATGCTCGTTCCGGTGCCGGCCCCAAAAGCAAAACCACCCGAAACCGATTCAGAAGACAGTGGGGTTTGGATGGATCTTTTGGGGTCTGATGTTTCTTATTCCCAAAGTATGAAACAGGAACCCGTCGCCTTCAAGCGGGCACTGTCCAGCACGAGCCACGGGGTGATCAATCTGGACTCGCCTGCTAAGAAGAAGATCAAGTCAGAGACGTATGCCACAGTCAAACAGGAGTTGTCCTCATCCCCTCCTCGCTTGCCCGCCCTACAGGGTTTGGTCGATCTTGTTTCGGACGATGATGAGCCAGCTCGTGCAGCAGTTCCGAATCCTGAGTCGATCGTCGAGGCAATATTTGTTTATTTCTGAAGCAGTCTATAGTAAGCATATAGGCCACATGATACAACATGCAGACCCATGATATGTGTATATTAGGACGGGCGCCAAACATGTGGGTTTTCTTCATTCGCAGGCGGCGTCAACCCACAGTCCGCGATGCTCTCCTACCATGGGGCCACCAAATCCTGATTTAGCGGCGGCAGAAGACGAGGAAGAAGGATGGATGTTGACGACATGTAGAACAACGTCTTGAAAAGCATGCCAGAAAGGTACATAAGTGTTGGTAGTAACACATGTGTACAGTGCGTGGATACCGAGGGCGGGAGCAAACTGTTGATATCGAATCATGTTGTCCTTCATAAGGTTTTGCTAAATGTGTGGAGCTTCTAGAGTCATGCTCCGAGACATGGCGCGCAGCCAGAAAGCCCGGCCAGTTTTGCAAACCATCACCGCGGCACACAAGCATGAAAAGTCAAAACTGCTGAGTCGTTGCATCGTCAAGCAGTCTATGTTCATGATGTCACATGGCGCGCATTGTTCCGCATGTTTGCTTTATTGGATGGTTCTACCAGTTCGAAAGTTAGGATCTGTGCGCCTGTTCACTAGTTTGTGTTTTGGCAAGATGCCAAAAAGCGTAAAGAAGGCGATGAAATCGCCACCATTTCCTTCCCCCAAACGCGGAAAACACCGTGTACAGAATCGAGCCATGAAGCAATATGCAAAAGTACCCTATGTTCGCCACGGAGTGCTAACGACCAAGAACAGAAGCCATCGCGATCGGTGGGGTCTTTCGGTACACACGCTGTTGTCAATGACCGGTCGCACATTCATCAGAAAGCTCGTCAAGGACAAGATCCTTCCCAATTGGCATGGTCATGATTGTCCTCCGTGTGGTCATGGCACTTTGAGTTCGTTGTCGTATGTCAAATCCAAGAAAGTATGGGGGTACAGATGCGGCCATCGTGGATGCAACAAGCTACTCTTGGCCCATGACTTCCACCCGATCTTTTTCAAGGGCAGCGGGAATTCCATCACAGATCTTCGTCATCAAGCTGCGGCACTTTATTGTGCGGTTGCAGGCGTTTCCTCACAGTCTGCGCATCTCATCCTCGACCTTGATCATAAAGCCGTAGAGCGGGTCTACACAAATGTCGACACATCTCGAGCTCGTTATGTTCAGTTGAAGGAAAAGGAAATCCGTTACGGAGGCAAGTGGGAGGACGTAGAGGTTGACGAAGTGGATGTGGGAAAGCTCACGGACAACACTACAACAAGCACAAAGAATACGGTTTGGGAACAGTGGGGAGGTTTGGTTGAGCGCGGGCGGCCCTCGTCGTTGAAGTTGTTTCGTTTGCATCCTGCAAAAACCGTCAAACGAGCACCAGGCCCGGGAGCTATGAGGAAGAGGGAGTGGAAACCCATCGCCACCAAGCATCTTGCCAACAGGAAGGTTGTCCTCCATAGCGATGGCGCCCGTGCCTACAAGCTCAAGGTTCCCGGTGTGATGCATTGCAACGTGGTTCACAAGAAGAAAAAAGTCAAAGTGGATGGTAAGGCCGGTCGTTATGCTGTCATTTGGGTTCTATTTTGTTGTAACAAATGTGACAACCAGAAAATTGCGAAAATCACTACAGGTTCGATGGGTGAAGCCGCACTACACGAAGGTTTACTCCATCAAGTTGCCCACCGGAGACCAGATGAAAGTCAAGAGCGGCACGCAAATTATCGATCGTTTTTGGGGATTGCTGCGGTCTCACATTAAGCACACAACACGCACCCCCGGTAGCCCCGCGCTCACCCGGAAGATCCGCTCAGCGCAGTTTGAGTACTGGTTTAGCAGGTGCAATATGTGGACGGTTACCGGCAAAATGCTGGATACCTTGTTTTGGGAATCGTGACAGAGCTGTTTCGAACCCAGTTTTGGCAGGTGTAGCAGTGTGACATGCGAGCATACGTGAGAGCAGCCGTCAATCGCCGAAAGAGATACACAGTGCCTGGGATGTACAATTGTTGTTACATAACACACCATAAAACGCAAAAAAACACGAGGTTTTTCAGTATGGTATGAACAAAAATAGCACGCCCTCCAGCATTTCAGCTTCTCTAACACATAAACTACCATAAATCCGCGGCCGAGATTCGGCGCCAGATTTATACACATATCAAACCCGCGACTTGTAGCAGCACGGTTTGCATGCACAGGGAGTAAAGCACGATTGTATCGGTATTTACGGTGTTTTCGGCATATATGAGTAGTCGACCAATGTAGAGAAGCAACCTGTGGAATCGTGTGGAAGAGGCGAGTGTAGATCTTGGGGGGGGGGGGGGGTGACCATATATATATATATATATATAATATATATATAATATAGATATATATAATATATATATATATATATATATATATATATATATATATATATATATAAGTGCATAAGGTAATCCCAAAAAGGAACTACTGTGGGGCCTATGGGATATTGGAGTCTCTGGCATGTTTGGGGGCCAGCCGTCCAGGTTCGACCATACGTGCAAGCGTGAGGCGAACCCCAGTAAATGCAGGGAGGGGTCTTAGGGTTCTTGGGTCTACGGTTTCGGGGTCTTAGGGTTTTGGGGTTCTTAGGGTTCTTAGGGTTTAGGGGTTAGGGGTCTTAAGGTTTAGGATTTTAGGGTTCTTAGGGTTTTAGGGGTTAGGAGTCTTAGGGTTTCGGGGTTTTAGGGTTTGGGGTTTCAGGTTTCGGGGTCTTGGGGTTTCTGGGCCTCTAGGCTTGAGCAAAGCAGTGTAAGGGGCAAGCTCCAAGTTCCAAACACCGACCCCACGAACCCAGAGAGTCCAATATCCCTCAACTATAGGAATATACTTGTACCATGAATTATGGAAGGATCCCTAATGTGATTGAAGGTATATTCCTCAATTACGGGATATTAGAATCGCCTTAACCCTATAAACCCTATAGATCCGTCAAAGGAACCCTAGGTATTCCTTAATTGAGGGATATTGTGGCCCCTGGCAAGCGCAGACCCCCGAAAGGATCCAAGACGTAGATCCCTTAATGGGGGTTCCTACCAAGTACCCTTAGTAGTATAGGGCCCCCCCAAATTAGGGGATCTACTTTCTAGATCCTTCCGGGGGTCTGGGAGTGCAATGCTGGGAAGGCCCTACTTGGAGGGTTGGGGGACTTAGTAACTGGTTATTTTTGGGACTTGTAAGTACCATAGCCCCAATTAGGGTTCCTTTTAGGGTACTTATAAGTCTACCTACTACCTACTTACTAAGTCCCCCGACCCTCCAAGTAGCCTTGGCTTTTAGGGGGCTCAGGGTTTAGGGGCCCCTAGGGATCAGAGTCTTCGGGCTTAGGGCTTAGGGTTTTGGGGTCTTAGGGTTCAGGGTTTGGGGTTTAGGGTTGAGGGTTTAGGGTTGAGGGTTTAGAGTTTAGGGTTGAGGGTTTATGGGCTTAGGGCTCCTCCACCCGAAGAAAGTGCCTTTGATCGCGGCAATTGCCTTTGGTCAGCCGTACAAGGCCCTGACCCCAGCTTGACGAAGTTCAAGACGCCGGACCGCGGCAAGAAGAGGAAGAGGAAGGACAAGGGGAACGCTGGATCACACGGCTCGCAGCATACAACTCCAAGGAGGCGTCTTTTCTCGTCCCAGACCGTCGCCAACAATGGTGCCGGCAGCAAAAGCATGCAAGGTGCACGAAAACGCCGCTTCAACATCGCAGAAGCACCTGATGCCCGCAGAAAGGCGCCCCTAACCCCCCCCAACAAAAAGAGTTTAGGGTTCCTAAACCCTAGAGCTCTTTCTCGGCATCAATCTCTAAACCTTCCTCAAGCTACCAGAAACCACGTTTTCCTTTGCAAGGGTCCCTATAAATGAAATTTCCTTTTCAGTTTTATGGTAGGAACCTCTAGAGCACTACTTGTAGCCCAGAGACTCCAATATCCCTTAATTAAGGAACAGACCTCAATTTATAGTAGGGATCTTTTTGAGGTATATACTGCTTGGTTAAGGGATATTGGAGTCTCTGGTAGGCTATGGTACTGTTGATGATATAAATCCTGCATCACCTTAAGGACCCTAAACTATGGGAATTATGGTATATTCCTTATTATGGGTCATGCAGGATTTACATCATCAACCGTAGTATCAGGTAAGGTCTGAATCCTCAATCCCAAGGCCGGAAGTTAGCGCCTGCTTGGGCCTCCGCTTCGTGAATTTCGGGTTTGTTTTTTTTTGGGGGGGGGTTCAGGGTTTTAGAGTTTTCGGGTTCAGGGTTTTAGGGTTTTTAGGGTTTGAGGGTTCGAGGGTTTCGGGCTTTGGGGGTTTAGGGCTCGTAGGGTTTAGGGTTTCGGTTTTTTTGCTGACTGAAGGCGGCAAAGATGAGCTGCGCCACACACTGCCCTGCCGAGAGGGAGCACGTAGAGGTGGGAAATAGAGTATTTCAGGGTTGTCGACTTTTTGGTTTGGGCTTGAAAGGGCTTAGGGGTTTCGGGGTTGAGGGTTCAGGGTCGACTCACGAATCTTTGGTCCAGGAGTTGGCATGTTGATGGACGGATGTTTATGGTGCAGCAGCTTGGGTTCTGTAAACGGAACCTGACAATAGCAGGAATGCGCGATTCTGCGGGACTACTATTCAGACAGAGGTGTAAAGAATGGTGTTCATGCTGAACAAGAGACACTACGGTTCAGTGGTTAATGTAGTTGGGAGCTTCAGCAATCTGTCAAGGATTTTTGAAATGTTATGGTATAATTAGGTGTGCAAGGACTGTAAAGAGATGCGATGGCTGATTATTCCGACCCCTAGTAGGTTCCTGAGTAGCACCCTTTTGTCCTTTCTATTTTTGGGGTCCCCTTATTAAAACCGAAGAGCAGGGAAAAGGGCACCCTTGTTGTGAAGGGACTACTCAAGAACCTAGCCTATGTAGGGCTTTGGGCGGCTGAGGGCTGAAGATCAGGGTTTAGGGTTTAGGGGTTTAGGGTTTAGGGTTTAGGGGTTTAGGGTTTAGGGTTTAGGGTTGAGACTCCCGAAATCCTGACGTTCAAGGTTTTAGGGGACGGAATGCTCGACCCTCTGCTTCTGAGCCCCTCCGAATCACCTCTACATACCACTATGGGCTATTAGACCCTAAAGATCCCTATTAGGACCCTATTAAGGGTAGATTAAGGTACCCTTAAGGTCTAATAGCCCAAAGTGGTAACCCAATCAAACCCTCCACCCAAACCCTCAACCGTAATTCTGCCACAGATCCCCAAACTCAAAGGGTCCAACTACCCTTTCGTTCTAGACTCAGACTGTCAAGCAGCTACGTAGACCCCTGCTATTATATGCCAGAGTGTCTATCAAGAAAACTCCTTCATAGAACCCTCAAAGGAGGCACATACATCTGTAGTGAAGCTTAAAACACACCTGACTGCCCCGAAGTGCCGCATGAACACCATAACAAGGGCACCCGTAAGGGGTACCACAAGGGTACTACAACACGCTAGTTTTACCAGTACTACCCTTTTGTACTTTTTTAATTTTTGGGTCTCCCATGTTAAAAACCGACTGGGAACCTGGGAAGGGGTGCTACAAGGGAACTACGAGATTTGCTGCCCGCGGCTGTCCAGGGCTATCCTTTCAAGGAGCTCGACCTGAACCCTGCAGCGGTCTACACGAGGAAGTCAGGGGCTCATCGGGTTCAGAACCCTAACCCCTAAACCCCTAGACCTTAAACCCCTAAACCCCTAAACTCGAAACCCTAAACCCCTAAACCCTAAACCCCTAAACCCAAAACCCTAAACCCCGAAACCTGAAACCCCAAACCTCTAAACCTGTAGGGTTTAGGGGCTTGTTGGGCCGTTGGGGGGTTCGGGGTCTCATCGCGTAGGATAGGAAGAGACAAATCTGCCCCGATCTTGCTTAGCGAAGATCATTGGGGGTCTGCCGTCTATCTACCCAGAGACTCCAATATCCCATAATTGAGGAATCTCAAGTGAATCCCGGAAACTTTGAACATGGATTTAGAATGATTCGTGCTGGGATTCCCTCTGCTTCGCCTCAAGGGCATGAGGATAATGATGTTGCAACTTTCTGGCTTCTACTGTACCTTCAATCGTGGAATGTGTGTTCCAGGCTTTCCAAAACGCATCTCTCAGTCACTTACACTTAGTAGCTGAGTGGATACGCTTTGCATTTTTGGGGATAGTACTACCCACTATAAAACTGAAAGTCTACGCTTTTGGGGGCTTATGAACTCAGCAACTCAACCCTGAGACCAGCCTAAGAGAGGATTTAGGGCTTAGGGTTTAAGGGTTTTAGGGTTTAGGGTTTCCTGCGAAACACCTTGCTTCAGCGATTAGCTAACGACCCTCTGAACCCTGGTTGTACCAGAAGCAGCCTTGGGCAGCGCCCTCTAACAGCCGAAGCACCAATAGCGCCTGATAAGACCGCATCTGCCGAACCCTACAGACCTAATCCCTAGGCCCTAGGCCCTGCGCCACCCCCTCAGCCCCTAAAGCCATTAATCATATAAAGCACACTGGACCCCACAACGATCTCAATTGGGACGGGGGGTTCTCAGTGTAAGGTTCCGAATGAGTGGTGAAGCGAGCTTGCGAAATCACTTGGGCAAGTCTGCCAGGCTCTCAGTGAGTTTATTTGGAGCTTAGAATTTCGGGCTTGAGATGTTCGGTGTTCGTGTTTTTGTTAGGCTTTCAGGCGTCGTTGTATTCGCGGTTGGGGTTTAGTGCTTTGTGGATTTGTGCCTTAAGGCTCCGAAGCTTCAGGTTTCTTTATGCCTTTAGGAAATGTAGGGTTTCGGGCTTATGGAGGGTTGAGAGTTTTCACCACTGTCTTCTAAAGCCCAAACCCTAAAGCCGTAGACGTAAAGCTCACAACACGGGTTTAGACATCCTAAA